TGCAAAAGCAAAAGAGAAGAAATATCTTGTTCAGATTGGAACCCATCTTGTAAAATGGAGGTCCATGTCAAGAAGGAAAAAGTTTTCTACACAAAAAAAAAAAATTCGCTAAAAGAAAAGTAAGTGCCTGGACAACACTCTCCCACCTTCATTTCTGACTGCTGTTCTTCATAATCTGCTTTAATTGTTTCTATTTCCACTTGGTGTTCCTCGACAAGCTCTAAAAGTGAAAACAATTGATGCAGTCAATAAAATAGTAATATTTAATGTTGGGTTTTTTTTTTATTTGTAGAAATCCAGACCACAACTTCAAGAATTTCCAGAATACATAACTGACAATATCTTTATCCTAGCCTGGCTATGATCTGACGCAAAATGAGAAACATCCTGATGTAAACAAGTAAGGCATTAAAAATGTTTATTCGATTTCAATAGATTTTCCAAGGATCTAACATTCAAAATGTTTCCCAGAGGCAGATACCCCTGGACACCTCTACTGGTAATCACCTTCAGCTCTGGTTTGAGCTGTAGAGCAGAGGGAAAGGAAAATTGTGCATCATATCATAGGGATTGGGTTGCCATTGCTGGAGTTTACTTTACATGGCTGTACTAATTGTCACCATGCAACTACAACTGACTCACCATCAACTGCACAGGAATGTTTGCTGTCTAAGTCAGCAATTTCATCTTGATGTTTGTCCTTTAAGGATGCTACAAGTTCATCATGTGTCTTCTTCAATTGTGTCACCTGTTCAGAGACAAAAAGGACGTATATTTAGGACACTTAACAAATTATAGATCTTAAAAAACCACAACTCAAACTTTTTGAGATCCCTGAGAAAACTAAACTAATTTTATGAAGCTTTACAGTCAAACAATTTGTTGTTTAAATTACCTGTTTCTCTTGCTCTTCCTTCATTTCATGCATTTGTGATCTGTGAGTTTCAATAGCTAAAATAAAGGCAACACATATTAAAAATGATAATTTCAATAACTAATAAATTTGACCATCAATTGTGAACCCTTTAATTCCCATGATCTCGTTAGTAATTCTCCTTACTGTCTGCCATACAATTCTTAAGATGTCAATTTGGAGAATTTGGTATTGGATCAACTAATAATCCCCTAATTGATATTTTACTTTATTCTTAATACTTCTATGCTTGATATTGTATTGATATTGTAAGGAGAAATTCTGCCTTGGTCACTCCTGGGAGTTAAAGGGTTAATGATTGATACTTTACCTAACTGAATTTCTCCCTCATGTTTGCGCTTGAGCTCTGAGCTCGTCTCCTCCAGTAGATTTTCATGGTCAGCCTTTAAGGTTTCTATGGAGACTGCATGTTCACTTCGCTGGTACATCATCTCTTCTTGTAGTTTAACGCTGTTTGCTTCCTCTTCAACTACAAGACAGGAATTTCTAAGTGTTAGTAGAACAGAATTAACATGCTGGTTAACCAACAGTATCAAGAAGCCCTGTTGACATACACATACCAAGTTTCTCATGAATGACTTTCATCTCCTGCAAAGTTGATTCAATTTTCCTTTGGAGTTGATTGCTGTACTTTTGACACCAAACCAGCTGTGGATTCAATATGAATTTTAGCCTTCAGTTGAGACAAATTAGGATACAGAACCCTGAAGATTTTTCTGTAGCACCAGCCTTTGTTAATGTATCCATAAAATTTGACCTGTATGGTTTGTTGCATTTACATACAGTTGATGGCACTGAGTTCCCTTCATTCTAATAAGAATTCATTATGCCCACATCAGTGGTAAAAGATGTCTTACCTTACGTAGAGTGGTCAGAATCAACAGTGATGCTGCAACAAAGTCGTTACTGTTGCAGTCAATTTGATCCTGTAGCTGGCCATAGAGTTCCGTCCTTTGTTTCAAAAGCTCACCCAGATGCTGTGCTTTCTCTTTGACATCCTCAATAGCTTTTAAATGACTAACATCCTCCACCTGAATTCCAACAGAATGCTTAATCAGGTACGGCGTCTCACTTAAAATATCTGGTGGCATTGTTCTGCAAGGCACTTCTAGTGGAGAACTGGCAAGCACCATTGTTGTAGAGCCATCATTTTCATCTGAGTTGTGCAAAGCAATGTCTCCTCCAAGAGAAAAGTTATCTTGCTGTGAATTTCTGCTTGAGAAATCTCTTGCACCATGGATGAAAGTGTCAGAGTGAACAGATACAGAATCACCCTCAGAATCAATGAAGTCATCAAGGTGATCTTGGTCTCTGATACTGCTTGTTACTGATACACTGTCACTGGCATTGCTCAGCTGTCCTGAAATCTTTCTTGGCAGTTTTGAGGATCCTTGCTTTTGACTTGCTGGAGTTTGTTTTGTACTTTGTTTCCCAGCTTGCTGAGGCTTTTTGTTGGATGAGGCTGATGATGGCTGCCTATTGACCGGTTTTGAAGGTGCCTGTGTTTTCTCTGCCAAACAAACAAATGCAACAGCACAAATTAATGTGAAAAAAAAATTCAGGAGGCCTCTAAAAATCAAGAACTACACAAAGTATTCCCTCTCCTAAGAAATACATTTGAATTGAAATTAAAACCAAATAAGAGCAAGCATGCGAAGGCACTTCACACCATCTTTAATTCAAAATGATCAAGCTATATAAAAATGAATTTTAAAAAAAATTGGTGTTTTTTAGCCTCAAGTCAGTAATTTTACTATATACATACATATTAAGAAAAACTTATTTTTTTCCTGTTAACTCATAGGCTTGAAAGCTATGAAAGATATACAAAAAAATCATTATTAATGCTAAATTAAACATTTTCCTATCAATGACATCTTTCACCATAAAGCTTGAGAACTATTGATAAATATTATTGTATTTATTTTATTTACAGTGATTTAAGAAATACAAAAACTCCTGATGCTGAATGACACATTTTCCTATTAGTGATGAAATATATACTTTCTAACTTTCACAATAAAGATTGAGAGTCCTTCATGGTCTTGATTGAGAACATTATACAACTAAATTTATTTAAATGAAATAAAAATGAGAAATTTAGTCAAATATGAAAATATTCATCAAATCATCTCACTAAACCAAGTCCCTTTCATAAAATTACACAACCTTTACTTTTTGTAGGAACACAACAAAACTATAACTTGCATAACAACATACCCCAGGTTTAACAAAAAAAATCCAACAGAGAACAAGCTGTTTCTCACGCGATATCACATATTTACCCTTTATACTTACCTGTACAAGCAACATTTGGCTCACTTTTGGCTTTGCTTAAATCAGATTTCTCTTCTCTTCTTTTTCGAAAATACTTTACAAGAAAACACTCTAAGTCTCTCATATCCTTTCTAAGACATTGTAATTCAAATAAAATATGTGTCAAAGAAATAGAAATGATTTTTTGTTCAACAATATCTGAGTCCATTAGTGAATGAAATGTCATCCGTTCATTCTCTGTGGAACATTATTTATGCATGAGAAGTTAACCAAACATTAATTAAATATGGAGTTCAGACGAATGCCAATGAATGAAAATGTCTAATAAATTTCCATAATTTTTACAAAAATTTTGTTCCACTATCACTGCCCTGTCTTCACAATAACAGCTTATAGGTACATCAAAGATTCAAATCAGATTCACCAATATTTAGGTTGGACAGGGAGAAAAAAATTTTTCCACACAAAGTGAATTGTTGTAAATGACACAAGACACCAGTTGGTTAAAACTCAAAAGCTACAGTCTGTGTTTCAGGTTGAGCTAAAAATTTCAGGCAAGTTTTGGACATTTAAAAAATAATTGAAATTTCATATAAGGTTAATACTGATGACAAAATTGACCTCAAACCAAACATTTTTAATTAAGTTAAACTTATGCGCAAACAGTTTAACAACGTCCTTACAGCAAGCAAAGTGACTCTAAATTTTATGTTTTAGGAGCATAATTGAAAATAAATTTCATATACATATTTGTTATAACTTAGTGTGTATTTTAAGTGTCCGGTAACATAATAATATCTATTTTTTAACAAAAACCTCAAAAATCTAAGAGATATGGCCAAGTGAGAGGAAAAAGAACAGATATGTTAATTACTTGAAATTTGAATTTTTAAGTTGATATGGATATTTATTATATTATCAATATCATCATTATCATTGTGATAATAATTGATATTATATATTACCTTTAACAGAACTACTTGATCTCTTCACTTTTGCTGCTTGTGGTTTTGACCCAACTGCTGTGGATAACACTTTTGATCCTTTAGCTGATGCTGGAGTTTGTCCACCTATGGCCTTACATCCACTTGCAGCAAATTCTTTCTCTTTACCTGTGGCCTTATGTGGAAGAGATGTCCTGTTAGGTTTCCTTGCATTCGAATCTGACCTTGCCAAGCCAGATTCTTTTTTAACAGCGGGAGCTACTGGTGGTCGACTTCCTGCAGTGTTAAACTGTTTCTGAACAGCAGCACTGTCTTTCTTCCTTTCCAGTTTAGTAGCTGCTGCTGGTTTTGAAATCTGTGATGGTGTACTTAGCTTCTTGACAGGAAGTTTTGAGGTTTTAGATTCCTCTCTAGGGGATTGCTCTATGATGCTACCACTTGTTGGCCTTTTATTCACAGCTGGACGTGGTACAAATGATTTCTGATCGGGTATTGTTGCTAGAGTGTGTCGTTTCTGTATTTTACCTTCCTGTTTATGTCCTGAACTGGGCCCAGTTCTGTTTGGAAATTTACCCTCAGATGATAAGTTGACTTTTTGATTTTGTTGCTGACGCATTTGTTCTAGCCTAGACTGCTTCTGTTGTGTTGTTTTTGATGTGTTGCTGCTTTTTGTTGGTATTGATGTTGATTTAGACTTAGGAGCTTTGACCGAGCTGGGGATCCGTCTTGTTGCAGACATCTTTTTTCCCTTGCTGTCACTTGTTCCAGTGGAAGATAATGACGCTTGTGATCCAGAGAGACTGTCAGTGTAGTTAGAACCAGTATCCACAACTTGATCATGGGATTTAACTGTTTTGTTTGCAGCCTTGATACCACTGGCTTGTGACAAACTTGTGTCAATACAATTTAGATCAAGAGGCCTTTTAACTGTATTATTAGATATTGGTTTGACTGTTGCCAATATCGAAGGAATATTGTCATCAAACACCTCATCATAGTCTCCACTCCTATTGAGGGCACTTTCAGCATGAATATCACTGCTACTGCTGCATCTCCTGAGAGGTTTCTTAGGAGTTGACGTCAAACAAGGCCAGCTCCTCACCTGAGTTGATTTATTATCACTAGAAATCAGAGAATCACCATTCACCAGTTTATTGTTATCAGAAATTTTCTGAAATGTGTCAGACTGCGCATGAGGACACCCAGGATGTTTCTGTTGAGTGTTATCTTTGCCCAAGAGCTTAGCAGATCTGCCAGTGTTGCTTCTGTTCTCATTCTCAGCTTCAGGAATGGCAAGCCTTTCTCTGCGCCCCAAATCCAGGCAGGCTGTAATAGCTTCTGAAAAATGATCAGCACAATGCAGGCTTGGGCAGCTGCAATGTCGTCCTTGAATAAAGGGGTCCTCTTTGGTAGAGAGATGTGCTGCACAAGTGTATTCATTGTTCTCAGAATTTGACATTAAAGTTAAGTGTCCTTTCTCGACCATCAGATGAGTATCCAAGGAAACAGCATGTCCCACCTTCTTCTGAAGAGCAGATTTTCCTCCATTAAGATAAATTTGATCTTTACTTGGTTGAAAACCATTCTGTTTATTTGAGGAATTCTCCAATGAAGACTGCACAGAAAGAGGTGCCTGAAGATCTCCTGCTAAATTATTAATGCCATCTCTTGACAAGTCAAGAACACCTGTCATCTTTGAAGGCTTATTGTGATCAGCTCCAACAGAGATGTAGTCTTTAGTCACAGCATCAAATGCCGTTTTCTCGTTCCAAACATTTTTCTCCAAATCCCCCATGTCACCTCCCAAACAATACTCGCTTGAATCCGGGAAAATATCCTTGGAAATTTTAGGCATCGAACGCGAGCGATTAACACAGTTCTGCACCCAGGTGTTCATTTTCTCGCTCTTTTCCGTATTATGTAAAAACATATTTAGACCTTTCGCCAATTGCTTGGCTTTTAAGAACAGATATCTATCCAACGAGACAGAACGATTCCTTCTCGTATGCTTTATCGACTTGTTTATGTCTCTATATTTAGAAACCTCGCGATCATTGGAGCGCATTACTTCCACATCACCAGAAGACATGCTTTGCTCGTTGTGATTACCTTCTTTAGTATTCTTTTCCGGTGATTGTGGACTGAACGGGCTTTCTAGCAGGTTTAATCGCGATAGTGTAATGTCATCGGCAGTTCTAACTTTATGCGAATGTACAAATATCCCGTGTTTATTCTTACAACGAAAATAACGCACTCCACGAACACAACCGTCGTTTTTGCCGCAGGCTTCGTCCAACACAATACCACACCATTCGCCCTCGGCAAAATGTGTTCTTCCGATGTATTTAAGGACACCAAGTTGAGGTTTCTTGTTTAGTATGCATACGACCCTGTCTCCTTGATTTGGGCGCTTCTTCGTCAATCCGCCATATAAACTCCCGTCGGGCGAGGATAAAGACGATGCAGCGAGACTATTGTTGACCTAAATGAGAGGAACAAAAAGAAAATTTTACAACCCTTGTTAATCAACATAAAATGAAAATTGAAATACGATGTGACGCCAAAACAAATGCTGAACAAACGTGACTTTATTCGTAAGTCAATAATATCGACATTTTCGCTATAGCAACGTCCAATTTTCGTGTGTGTACAAGTGTCGAAGCGTGCCTATCACAATAAATTTTCATTCCAAAATTTAAACATACTTGTAGGTAAATATCAAACTGCATTTTTATCACAACATCGATTGGCAATTGAAAGAAATAACTTTTTACAAGTTAAAGTTTGAGTAACCTCCTCCTCTTGACCTGTGTCAAATTGCGGGAATAGAGAGGAAAGAAACGTAAATATAATTGAACTACAGCATCCTTGAAGAAATTACTGAAGTAATCATTGGCCCTAGACACTAGACACTAAACAAGGCTGATGTAACCTCGTTGGCGTGAATTTGGAATGAAGGCGAGAAAGTACCTTTAAAAATGACTTGAGTGACGGACTTGAAAATTAACTCGCACATCCTTAATTCTGTAGTTTACTTCGAGAATTTGAATCTGAGCTAAAATAATCTATTTGAAAACACTTTCTAATCACGTTAGAAAAGAATAATATTAAAGTGAGCAAAATGGTTTGACACAGAAATCTGCTCGTGTGTTTAAACGGCAACAAATTTTCAACTGCACGCTTCGCCGATCGATGTGTTTATTAGAGGGGAATGCAAGCGACTGGTTTTGAACGCGAATCCCGCAGAGAAATCTTGTGATATGAATGACTAAGACATAAACTTCAACGATAATATTATAATAAGATTAACAATCTTTATGTACTCACAGACAGAATTTTTTGCCCGCTGCTAGCGTGAATGTTATGATACCGTCGAACGGTGAAATCGACACCGGCAAAGGTTAGAATACTGATAACTTGAAATCCTACCTTTCGTTACTTATTACTCTTCTTTAGCCGTTTGTTTTTTTTTGGTTCGTTTCAGAGAACAGTCTTCAGCTGACAACTAAAATATCCGAGGACCCATCGATTAATGATTTCCACGCTGATCAAATGCCTCAAGTCTCACGGTGAGCGAGGGAGCGAAGCACAGATCACGAGCTTAAATTGTCGACCAATGAGATGTGAGGCAATAGCTTATTTGTGTCAAAATTAATGGAGGATCAGAGTTATTGAAAAGAATATTCGTAATTGTTGTCATTCTTTTCAAATTGATAGGAGTAATTTTAAAGTCCTTTCTTCTCTTAATACTGGCATTTTATTTCGCATCAGAAGTACAACCATATTTTGAAATGAGACAGCCTCTTTACGACAGTAGTACGAAGGTTCCAAAAAAAACTTCTTAAAAACTTATTGTCATGATGTTATTCTTCAGCCCAACAAAACAGAGATTACCGATATAGTCCCTTTTTTTAAATGTGGATTTGGAAAACTGAAGATGGATTTATCTCAGAGACCTGTCTCGATATATATCGCATGACTCCAGTTTTATAACTTTATATAGAGAAATATTATCATTGAAATTTGCCGAAGCTGACATCTGCCACGGCATTGATAAATTATAGCACTTATCTGTAAAGAAAACAGTTCTTATATTTGATCAAGCCAATATCCACTTAATAGAGGTAGCTCTGGAATCTTAAGTTATGTGAGAAAAACAAAAGGTTGCGGTAGCGTCCGGATGACTCCTTTATTCTTGGCGTCCAGTTCTCCTATTCTCAGTGCTAAGAATGTGGACAGTCTATTGAACACTAAAGCCAAACCCCTAGCTACCTATCAAACAGAGTGGTTTATTTTCAGGTGATCATAAACAACAAAATGAACCATTCCGTTTTCTCACGTAACAACCATGGTTCGGCTTGCAGCCAAGATCTCGGAGGCACGGCAAATGAGTTTTCCGTTTCAAAGGCCCTTTGTCTCCATAAAAAAATTCCAATTTTCTAAAAAAAAATTCATTGCAAGCGAATTACGTGGCTGTGAGATGTTCCTTAATTTATTGATAATATTTTTCACCGATGCATTTTTCTTTGGCGAAAAAAAAACCATCAAGCCTTTGTGTCAAATCGTTGACTTGAAATTTGGCGAAAGAAATTAGGAGCGATGGAGGAGCAAAATGGAAACAATATTTCTTGGAATCCGTTTTTTAGTAAAAATTGACCAAAATAAGTCGGTTTGAGTTCATTATGCTACAAAAAGACTGTAATGATTCATGCGTAACTGGCTACTGAAATTACTATATTCTAAATTAATTAAATTGAACAGGATTTACATGATATTAAATGTCTGATCAATCACGGGTGAGGTACGAATTAATCGGATGAATGTTTGCATTTTTTCAATTTAAATTTAATATTGTATTGAATATAATATTTAATATTGTTCTGACCTCAATTCGCTTCGGTTTGGATGGAGAATAAAAGCACGAGTACTTAGCTTAATCAGATAAATTATTGTTTTCTTTGGGGAAGCTTTCCCATTGTTTGCACCCATGAGAAATTAACACCTTGAAATAAAAGTCGAATAAACGTAACATTATGATTAGATTTGAGATTATAAGTCAAAATCATTAAATAACAGTACTGAGAGATTGCTATCTAAACAATAAATCTTGAACCCGTAACTCAGACCACAGCCACCGACCCCCAGTAAAGTGAAGTTCATTCTCTCTTAATCTTGCAGCGCAAACAGTAAATTGACAGCCTACCTTTCTTCTGCGCGCCGAGGACGAATTAGGTTTTTCTTGCCTCTTACCGACAGTCCATAACGTTGATGGTCTTTTTGGAGCTGTAATACTACTTTTCCTCTGCTTCTTCTTTGCAAGAATTGATGGATCACTCTTGCTTCTTCTATATTCTCGACTTTCATTGCGATAAAATTCACTTGCAAACTTTGGAAATGTATCCCGTCTTTTAAGTCTTCTGTCAGCCGCTGATCGAGCGCTTCTTGGTCGAGAGTTGACGAGTGGTTTCCTTGAACTATGAACAGTTGAGGATGGGCAACTCTTGGAATATTTATCCCCGCCTTGTTCGTCGTCTATCAAAAATTCCTCGTGGTTCCATAATCTTGGCAAACCATGGGGTCTTTTACTTGACTTGTAAGACGTTGAGTTACTACGGGAAAGGTTTTTATGAGGTGAAATTTTTGTGCTGTTCCACGGCGTTGCTGGGACAGAGTTCTTCCTCAATCCATGATAAGAAGAAATTGGCATCTTTGGTAATGTCAAATAAAATGAGAAATTGATCCCAATCAAGAAGTCGACAGCCACTTCAATTTAGCGGAAAAGTTACACCTTCTTTGATTCAAACAAGAGCTGTTTAGAATTCATTGTTTTTAAAGACAGCTTGATTTGTAAGTCCGGCTTTGGAATGAGTCCACGTTGAAAAAGATTCCTTCGAATTGAAGGGAATATTTACTTTAGATTTTTAAGACGCTGCACGTTGCCACGACTGCCTTCTGTACCGTCAGGCCACCACAACAAAGGGAGTTAGAATTGATCCTTTTCAATCCATAATTCGTCTCGTTAAACTGTAGTATCCCGTAGCGGAGTTAATGAGAATCCTTTCTAGAATTTCACGGAATTAACCAACCATCTGTTTTACATAAACCTTGGCAATTACGACTACAAATTAATTTTAAGACCCAACCGGTACCAGATAAACACTTGCAATTCCAAGACTGTAAGGTACTTGTTTGCCAAACCCACAAACTCTTACAAGTCTAAAACAGCCTTGCGGTAGAATAAAACAAGAATTTCACTGTTTCTCTTTTCTTTGGCTTGTAGTTGATGAAGCGAATGATGATAATTGGACGCTTTCAAGCAGGACTTAACAGTTGTAACTTTTTCCCGGTGGCGAACTCTTGCAGAGAAATACATGTGTCACAAAACTGCGCATGCATAAGATAGTACACGTCCTACCGATGTAAACAACTCAGTTCAGAAGCTATTGTTTGCAAAGAAGATTTCAAGCACAGTGGTCTCGTTTCAAAATAAACGTTGCTGATGTTTAGCACTTCTATCTCACCATCCTCGTAAAAGCCTACTTTTGTCATTTTGAAATCAATACAGAGGACACTTCGGTGAGGGAGCCATTGAGACGGGTTTAATTAGATTTTCGCTTTGCCTTGTTTTGACTTTTTGTGACAAATGACGTAAGGTAGTTTGCACTTTGCATTGAGTGTCTCCGGAATGGAAAATCAATTTGCTCAGTGCTATATGTAAATAGAAACAGAGTAATGTACTGCGTTTTTCAAATATATTAGTCTTTACGCTGTCAGTTTTCTAGTAACATCAACCCTTTTCTCTGTTGTCAGCCATTTCACGCACGGGCTAAAAATAGTAGAGATGTTTCCAGATTCGCGACCAAATTAAACCAGAAACGTTTGTACTAGAGTCGATTTGCCCTAGTTTCCTACGCAGGTGGACAGGTTTGGGGTAGGGACTCAGGGAAAAGAAATAGCGGGGGAGAGGAGGGATAAAATGCGACATCATTACGAGTAAACAAAACCGATTTCTAAAGTAAAGTATGTAAAGATCTTCTGAGATTGTCTGGCTGGATTTTGAGTTAACACACTACCGCTTTATATCGATTTAATTTTGTTATCATTGGTTTTTCTGGCAAATCCAAATTGAAGAAAATTATTTTCTCGTGGGAATATGGATTAGCAGGTCCATTATTCATTAACCCTTTAACTCCCAGATCAAATTTGTAATTCCCCTTACTGTCAACTATACAATTCTTATTATGTTAGTTTAGAGAATTTAGTAATGGATCATCTAATTATCCTCAAATTTATATTTTCCTTTATTCTTAGCAATTGTCTGGTTGATATTGTATTGATATTGTAAGGAGAAATTCTCTGTTGGTCACCCATTAGAGTTAAAGGTTTAAGCACCTGTCACAATACATGTTCATGGATAAGCACAATAAGCACTATACATAAATACTTACATGACGTGCTATTTATCCTTCCTCAGTTTCTCTCTGCCATATAAGCGGCGTGGTTTCTAAGCCAGAAAAAAAAAGAGTTTCATTTCCTCTCTTCAGTCGACTCACTTGCGCTTGAGTTGATATCCTCTTCGTTTTGTTCTCTCCAATGGACATCCCCTCAGTTGTTCACAGTTTATCTCTAGTAACCATTGTGTATGCATTACTTCTCCTTATTCCAATTGTCATTGTGATAGTAAGTACTATTGATCTTGAATTCTTCATTTTTTTACGATTTTAATTATTTTATCGCATGGCCGTGACTTCGATTTCTCCTCGATTGTTCCACAGATTCTCATAGGAATTCGCTTGATGACTTATGACGCTGTGCCGATAATTTCTAGGTTCGACAGTGAAAAATATTACAAGGATCCAAACAAAAACAATGCCACTTATCCCTTCCCAATCATGGAGGAGGCAGGCTCCATTGATCTTTCAGTGATCGTGCCTTCGTACAACGAAGAGGAACGACGTGAGTTCGATTAATTGGATTGTTTATTTGCTCAGCTGGTCTACCGTCTGATGCAATCTAAGAGTGGTTCTCTTTAATGTTTTAGCTTTAAATAATTAAGAAATTTAATTACGCCCAGATTTAAACTAACCGTAAGAAGGGGGTCGCGATCGAGTCATTACGTGTCCAAAATCTCTAACATCCAGTTCTCCACCCCAATCATATTTACTGGAAGCATAGTCTTTAATTTTCCTGAAATCCAGCGCGAGGGTCAAATCAATTTTGCAGGGAAGTTTGTTTTGTGAGTGCTGACCTGGGGAAGAGGGGGTTCGTGTAACCTGGAAGGCAGGGGTATAGCTATGATGATCTTGGGATGCTTGTGACACCGTTTTGCCCTTGAAGGAGTAATATTTGTTTTGCATCAGCAACATAGAAACTTAATCATGCCAGTTTGCAAAATCTTGCGAAGCCAAAGTATTTTTGTTGCATTAATCGTTTTAGTGCTAGATACTCCATGAGCTTGTCCTTCTTATGGCATGAATATGAGCATGCAAGTACACAAAATAAAGCAGCAGAATTAGCCACTTCACTGAAGGAGTGCAAAAATTCTTAACTGAGACTCTTCCTATGAAAAATCCTTATGCCCCATGGAGGGGAAGCTTCAAGCAAAAAGAAAAAACCTAATGGAAAGCCTGTTGACAAAAAGGAAATCATTTGATTAAAAGTTAAATTAACAAACTTTTGCTTAGACCGAAAATCTGAATTTGAATGAGATTTGTATGAGGCCTTTCTTTTTGCACAAGAACATTTACCAAGGTTGTGCTCTAAAGGGAGCTCAGGAGCTACATGCAACTAATTTTTGTTGTTGAATGATGTTTAACCTTGTATTTTGAAAGCTTTCAAGAGTTCTTTACCCCAGATTTCTTATATGACAGCCCTCAAACCTTACTAACAATTTTTTTAATAGTGCAGTAGTGAATTTTTAATGACAAAGCAAGGCAATAGAGCTTTGAATTTATCATCATTCAACTTGTCTGGATTTGTTCTCAGTGCCTACTATGTTGGATGAAACATTTGAATATCTGGAAAGTGAAAAGGTAAAGAAAGAATCAGCATATAGTACATTTTCATGACTTAAATTCACACATTTAGTAATGCTTCACCTATTTTGCTTTTCTGTTTATTATTTTAATGAGCTTTCAACCAATTTTTAGTGAACTTTGTTGTCAAAACATTTGATAACAACAAAGTGACCTTAAATTGATTTTCACAGGAATTTGCCTTTTGTTCTAGCTTAGTGGATTTTTTTACTCATTTTGCAGAGGAAGAAGCCATCTTTTACATATGAAATTATAGTAGTGGATGATGGGAGCAGAGATGCAACATCTAAGGTTGGTGAAATGGAAATAGTTACATTGCTATTATTATTTGGAGTGCAATAAATGTATGTATTGTGGCTCAATTTTTCCTTGCTTTAAAATTTTTAAACCAGTTTGAAAATTTTCAAGATTGAAAAGCAATCTTGTTTGATTCCTCAATTGAAAAAAAGAATTTAAGACTGATGCATGTATATAGCTATGGTTTGAATAGTCCTTTCTTGACATATAAATCGTAAGAACAAAGTTTATGGAATAATTTACTTGAAAAATATAAGTAGACTGGATATGTGATGTTTTGTTGAGAACCATTTGAAAGAGCTATATGCTCGAAGGAAATGACTCCCTGGAGGAAAAATTATATTATTTTGTAAAATATTGTCACATTTAGGGTCTTCTGTTTTTATGAGTTCAGAATGGACTCCTAATGTGAAGTTTTGGAAAATTATTAATTAACAAAACAATATGAATTAATGAGAGGTGTTATTCCTTGGTATGAAAGTACAAATTGTTCCCTATGCTGATTGTTATGCGAAAGTGTCATTGTGGTTTGTTGTATCTGTTTATATGATGTAGGTGGCTCTGGAATATTCAAGGAAGTATGGTGTTCACCAAATGCGTGTTTTGACACTGGAAAAGAACAGGGGCAAAGGAGGAGCAGTCAGATTGGTATGTTGTTTTAACCCTTTAACTCCCATGAGTGACCAAGACAGAATTTCTCCTTACAATATCAATACAATGTCAACCAGATAAGTGATAAGAATACAGAAAAATATCAATTTGGGGATAATAAGTTGATCCAATACTAACTTCTCTGAACTAACATTATAAGAATTGTATGGTTGATATTTAGGAGAATTACAAATTTGATCAGGGAGTTAAAGGGTTAAAGAATGACTAAAGAGGAATTTTTCTTTACAGTATTAACACATTTTCAAGTGGAAAGGTAATGAGAAGGAAGAAAACTATCAACCAGGGGATATTGTTTGATTTAACACCAAATTCATTGAGTTAAAATCACTAGAATTGTATTGGAAACTGTGTAGGGAAATTTGTATTTGATCCTGGATGTGATTGTCACTTGCAGGGTTTTTACATGATGAAAGGTAGTGAATATCTGCAGCCCTTTCTTTGGCAGTTATGTCGCATGAGGATATGTTTTGGGGGATCAACAATGGTCTTCAAAATTATCAAAAGATAAAAGCCAAAAAAATTTTCATACAGCAATGTGATTATAGAGGTTTATTTTTTTTGATGAAAAGTAGTGTTCTCTAGACAAAGTTTGTTATAACATGCGTGTTTTGTCAAATTTTTAAAGATATTCTAATGTTTCACTTTTTAGTGAACACTAAGCTAAAATGTCATCCATCATCTTTTTTTTGCACTAAAGGGCATGTTCAGCTCTAGAGGTAGGCGGCTTCTGATGGCTGATGCAGATGGTGCTAGTAAATTTGCTGACTTGGCAAAATTAGAGAAAGCTTTAGATGACCTGAATGGAAAGAAGGTTAG